TGGGACTGGGGGCTGGGGCTGGGGCTGGGGCCCATCTCCAATCACAACCCCTCCCTCAGCCTCCGCTTTCTCATCCACAGTGTGGGAAGTGACCAGCTCCACACCCTTCCCCCAGCAGGTCTCCTAAGGTTAGGGTGGGTTGGGAGAGTCCCAGCATCATTGCTAGTCTCATCTCTGGCTGCTCTGCAAACAGCAGGAGAAACTGAGGTCTGGAAGGGGGAGGGGCCTCACCTAAGGGCCCAGGTGCATGGTGGAGCCAGAACGCCTTCCCTATGCGCCTGTACCCGCTAACTCCAGAGGGGCCCAGGTGAGAAACAGCAGGATCCCGGGGAAGCAGGACGGGCAGGTGCCATGCGCGCTGCAGCACTGCCCTCTGCCGGCGCCTCCTGGAAACGCACTCCCTGCCGTGGGCAGCACGGGGATCCTGCCAGGTGCAGGGTGGCGCTCAGAGGAACAGCAGGCGAGCCAGGCTCCTCATCCCAGGAGCTCCCAGATGGGGACTCGGGAAAGGCAGTGCAGCCAGCCTCAGAGAGATCAGGGGAGCGAGGGCTCCTGAGGCTGCAGACTTCCAGTTTGGGGAGGCTTCTCTGCAGAGCTGGGCCTGGAGGAGGTGATGCTGGCCGGATCTGAGCAGAGGCTCCTAGGAGCTTTGTCTTCACTGAGCTCAGAACCAGGACCGGAAGTGCACCAGCTCCAAGGGGACCGTGTACACAGTCTCCCTTCCCTGCACGCACCCCACGGCCCTCTTACCTTCTCATCAGGCGTGGGAGAAAACATATTCTCCTCCTGTGGGTGCTTGGAAAAGTCGAAGGGGTAGGACACCACCAGGTCGCCCCCGTGAAGGCTGGCTGAGAGCACGAAGGGGATGGTCTGCATCCACTTCATGATTGCCTTCGTCTCTGGGGCCACCTGCCCAGGACAGAGGAGGCCGCCCTCAGGGCTGGGCTTCCCCGCCAGCCCCCAGCCATGCCCCAGGCTTCCACAGCCCTCTGAGTCCAACTGGTGCAGACCGAGAGTCAAATGGAGGCTGCTTCTAGACTGATCGATTCTGCTTGACTAATGTGCTCATGGGACAGGTGGGCTGGGGGCTGAGGCCCAGGCAGGACTCGGACTCGCTGACCCCCAGGAAGCCCTGGACTCCAACCCTGAATGCCCTCAGTGCCCTGGGGGATGCGGACCTCCCCAACATGGGAATCAGAGGCCGCCCATCCAGAAGGTCTGGGTGTTTGCTAGAACATCCCAGAAAGCCACTGACAGTCTCTACATCAGTGCACCAGTTGGACTTGGCCCCCATCACTGGGACCCTGCAGGGATCTAGGCGTTTCCAACATTAATCTCTGAATCTCACCAACAGCCCAGCAAGGAGCTGTCCCCATTTCACGGACAGGTAACTGAGGCAGGAGCTCTGAGGCTCTCCTGTCCCGGGGGGAAGGACAGCACCGGAGAGGCCTGGAGTAACCAGGGCCCCCTGGATGCCTCGGTGGCGACAGCGTGGGCAGCAGCGGCTCCTACCTTACCCCACCAGTAGTGCTCAGGGATGGGGATGTGGTCACTGCGCACTCCGCGGGTCCCCGCCAGCTGGTAGTATTCAGAAGTCAGGTCTGGGAAGTTTCGGTTCAGATCCAGGTTCTGCGCGTTCTGCCTCCCGCTCGTCCACCCGTTATAACCGGCACCCTGAAAACACGGCCAGCCCCCGACTGCAGTCAGCACACCCCACCTTCCTCCTTCCAGATGTGTCTCACGCTGGGCTGAGGGTCAGGGCCGGGGGCTTCGGTTTTCCCCGGCTTTATGTGATGAGTTTGGGAGCATGCATGGAGCCCTTGTCCTCTCTCCACCCCGGCATTCCCTTCCTGGGGATCCCATGCTGATGCCACAGCCTCAGGACCATCCATGGCTGCTCCCCCTGAGTGGGGTGCCCCTGACAGTGACCTGCTCTGCTTGTTGCCCACCTCCCTAAGAGCTCCCCTGACACCCCCCGACACACGCGGGCACCATCAACTCCCTTTCCATCATTTTCCTCTATTGCGGGCATCACCTTCTTAATACAACTAGCATTCTCCATGCCTTCCCTCTCACCAAGCCCCTGCAGCAGGGCTTTGCCAGTGTCAACCTGCTGAATGCCCCTCTCCTTGAGAGGCAGAAGCAAAGCACCGCTAGCATAACTAGTTGTGAATGAATGAATGAGCGGTGGTGCAGGCATCTGGATGCTCACCTCGGCGGCTGCCACCTCGTAGCCATCGGGGTTCATGGAGGGCAGCAGGTGGATGCGAGTGGTGTTGAGCAGGCGCTGAATGCGGGGGTTGCCCAGCAGGTACTCGGAGCACAGGTACTGGGTCAGGTAGATGAGCATCTCCCGGCCCGCCACCTCGTTTCCGTGGATGTTGCCAATGAGTTTCACCTCGGGCTCCACTGGGGGCAAATACAGAGACTTGGGGTGTCATCTCAAAGCCTGGGGTCCCCAGAGGCATGAGGCCCCTCCACTCAGCAAGGGTGACCAGATGGGCTGGGACCAACTCGTCCTTGTTTTGACTCAAGAATCTCTGTATATAATGAGGTCTCAGCAAGGTCATCACTTTCGTCGAGCTCATTTTTAATATCCAGCCAGAATTATTAGTTAGCATAACTCAAGAATATTAATAATATATGTTATCATTGATCCATGCAGATTCCACTGATGGTCACTCCTCATGTTTGTGCAATAAGGCAAGGTGCACATTGGTGCTGGGCTGGGAAGGCAGCTGGCCCTTCACTGGATGAATGGATGGGTGAATGGATGAATGGATGGATCAGTGATGGATGGATGGATATATTGATGATGGATGGATAGATGAATAGATGGATGGATAATGGCTGGATGGATGGATGAATAGATGATGGATGGGTGCGTGGATGGATAGATATATCAATGGATGAATGGATAGATGGATAGATCAATGATGG